GTCCATAATGTCTTCAAAGGGGTCTTCGGGTAGAATCACAGGAGAGTTCGCCGACTCATAGCCAGAATCGCTATGACATGAGATCGGACTCAAAGGTAATGTAGTATTGGAGTCAAGGCTCAGGTATTCAATAGACTCGGCGGTAGACTCGACTGTTGGCACTCCTGTGCGATAGCCATTGGACTCGACTGCGGGACAAACGGCGTCTCCATCAGCGCCGGTAATGTTGGTGTCGTCGTCGAGCAGCTCTTGAGAGCACTTTTGGAGGAATTCCAGCACTGAATCAGATTCAGAACCGCTAACCAGTAGATGAATGGCGTCGTCGAGTGTGGCGCAGGTCTGGCCGTCGTTTCCGGGGCTCTGGTCTCGTGTTTCTGCGGCTGAGAAACATTAATGAGTTCTGCGGACTCAACGATACCGTCGCTCCCCTCCACGACACCCGCGCTCTGCGCCGACACCTCCGACAGCCGTCTCTTCAGGTCTGCGTTCTCTCTCTCTAGTGCTCGACATCTCGTGATCAGCGCTTCGTTACTGCCCTCCAGAAGTCGTTTCTGTCATTCAATACGAAAAACATAATCCTTAATATAAGACGCTTTCAATGCATATACAAGTAGTGTATAAGTGACCCAGATACTATCTCTACCACTACAACCTGGTACTAAATTAATGACATAATTATAGACTAATCTAATCCATGTCATACGTTATGCAATACATATCATACATGTATGCCTACTACCCCTCCCTTCCCCTACATTGCTAATCATTTATCATTAAATTACTTTCACTTAAATTGTGTCACAATTGGCGACTTTAGGACTAATGATAGCACCGATTGTTTACCTGTTGTTTCATCTCTCGGACCGTTTCCTGCAATTCAGACATTTTGTGTTTCTTGCGATCTCTGGCCAACTGTGCGGCCGCTCTGTTGTGCAGTTTCCTAAAGACATCACCAATGGATCAGTTAATAAGTGTGTCAACAACAGCACATTCACACGAGCCATACCTGCGCTTAATCTTCTCATCGTTGGACAGGTGGTCGAGTCGTTCCCTCTTCCTCTTGGGTTTGTCGGCCATCGCATTGTCCGCGCATTTGTCGCTCACATCCTGCATGTCCTTCAAGTTAGCGATGTTTTTGATCTTAATTTCGATGAACTTCTGGCTGCCGTACGGCACGCGTGTATCGGTGGTCACGTTGGCCATCAATGGCAACACTTTTGCGATTAAAAGCTTTTTTTGTGACATTTTATTGGAGACAACGGTTTGGGAAGCAAACGCTGGACTACGCGGACAGAAACTGACAGTACTTTTCATACATTTGTATGCAATCGACAGTTGGCTCAGACGTCGCCTCTATTTATAACATTTCCTAAACTTATGTGTCGTTCGCTCATTGGCTCACAAAACGCACACATCTGTATGAGTGGGCAGTAATAATGTCGTCAAAATACAGGCGTTTTGTATGTGGTTAGGGTTACGAGTGTTGCACCCCTTACGGACGTATAGTATGTATTGATTTGTATGACTAATGCGTGGATCGAGTGATGCAACGATAAGTTGTTATTTCATTGAATGTAATGACAATTGGGTTAAGCGTACCGTACGGTTAGGTTTGTACTGTTGTACTGTATTATACAACTTGTATACCAATACGTTATCATCGCTTAGAAATGTGTGTGACTTATGCAATGTCAGCGCAATTCACACAAAATATTGATAATACAGTATTTTAACCCACTTTACATTGAAATAAGTTTTGAAAGTCTTTTGAGAAAGCTAAAGTTGAATTAACTTTACAAACAATCAAGTTAATTTCCTAACATATACTGTATTATGCTGTCTTGAAATTTCTAAATAGTTTAATTAATTAAAATGGTGAGAATGCAGTTCGAGAATAACCAAGTTAATTTTTGCAAAATATTGTAATATAAAAATCTTTAAACTTAATTTAGTAATTTCTAAATTAAGATAGTTGAATTTTAAAAAATTATTTTATAATTTAAATTGTAAATATTTACATCCATTAAATTACATTATGTTGATTATATAATTATGAATTCCCAAGGTAAATTAGCACTTAATTAGCATTTAATGAAGTTTAAATTCATGGTATGCAAACTCAAATGTTCTTAGGCTTGGTATACTGTACAGTTAAATTACATTATGTTGATTATATAATTATGAATTCCCAAGGTAAATTAGCACTTAATTAGCATTTAATGAAGTTTAAATTCATGGTATGCAAACTCAAATGTTCTTAGGCTTGGTATACTGTACAGTGTAATATACAATATTATTGTACTGTATAATATACAGTGTATATCCAGGTAGGTATTTTTATTTACGAAATAATTTTGTTTTATATTTAAAAATAATTTCAACAAAAATCTACTTGGCGTTGTAAACTAAATATAAATATATGTTTTGATATAAATAATACAAAGTTTTGAGTACGACAGTAGACATAAAAGTTATCAAATATTTATTTAATACATGAGAATACAATGCTAACCAAATGAATATCTATGTCATACAGTAGATTCTATGTTACATTTATTCAATAATAGTCAGTAATATTCAATAATATTTGGTAATTATATTCGTTGTATAAACTATTATTTCAACAAATTGTATGAAAATGTAATTGAACTATAAAAAAAATTAAAAGTTGAATTAAATTTCATTACTAGTTTTAAATTTGAAAGTTCTTGTTGCGAAAGTCAACAAATGTGTTTGAATGGTAGAATATTTTCCAGTACAATCATACAGGTGTATTTTATTTTAAAAATATTCCTTAAATA